ATGTCAGGCGGTGTATTGACGTTAGTCACACAGCCTGGTCGGGTTAAATTTTTCTCTACTATCTTTCACCTATTATTGCCGACAATTTCCTGGAAATTCCGTCCAAATGCTCATCTGCAACACACGCTGGGCGCCGCACGCTGGCTGCTGCACACTGACACATAAATATATAGCAGGTAGGAAAGCGTGCTGACAAAATTCGCTCGACGCTTGCTTGATTTCATACGAATACATCACAAATATTCAACCATTCTACTCCATCTTTGTTTCTATTTGAAGAACAGTGTTCACTTGTTATAAAAACATACTGTCCGTGTTCGTAATCGAGCTGTGTCACGCGAAATCACACAAAGCTTGACGAAATTCTCGCGTTCGCTCCCGTTGCGCAGTTTATGTAAATTGCTGCAAGTACAGGTCTATAGGCGGCGCACTGCATTTTGGGAAACTACCATGCTGCTTTCCAACTCCCGTACGAGCCTCGTCAAAGCTGTCAGTGGAGCGTTGCAAAAACGTTGCAGCGTTGCGGCGCAAAAATGAGGTCACAGAGCGCCGGTGGGTGTTTCCTGATTCCGACAGCTATTTAAAAAAACTGCGCAACGGGAGCGAACGCGAGAATTTTGTCAGGATTCGTGTGATTTCGCGTGAGACAGCTCGGTTACGAACACAGACAGTATGTTTTTATAACGTGTTCTTGCTGCACTTTGTGAGCCACAAGGTAAGGTCGATTCGTTCACTTGTTATCTTCTTGCTATGTAGAGAGAACCGAGAAGGTAACCTGTGGTTAAACAACAGATACAGTGCTCGACACAGCCGGTCGCCCGGTCGCCAATGGCGACCAAAACCTGTGCTGGGCGATTAAAAAATACCCAAAACAAAATATTACAGGCCAAAAATAAAATCTTTGGGCGAGTACATTTTCTGTTCGGCGTCAACACAGCGCAAAACAAGTGCTCAGATTTCGATTTATCGCAACACTCGGCGGACACGGCTTTCCTATGTAAAGGGAGATCAGAGCATATAAATCAGCCTAAAAATTACTTTTTTTTCACGAGAGCTCTTTTTTGATTTTGTATGAAAAAAAGAGCTCTCATAATTTTTTTTACGGGAGCTATTTTAGGCTTGGCCAGAGCTACTTTTTCATAGCATAATTTTGTAAAAATTTTCATAATTTTGATGCACTGACTCTAATATCATTCATCAGCATTCAGCACTCAGCACCAGTATCAGACTATGATGTGTTAAGAAATCGTCAACAAATTACAATTTACATTCGATCAGATTTTTTTAATCTAATTTCACTCGACTAAGAAACCAATCACATTCTTTAATATTCAATTTCATTCACACAGACAGGCATGCACTACACAGTACACATAGTCAGGTAACATGACAACGACAGAAAATCAAGAATTATAATCATGGTAATGATGGTATGGTTATTTTCAAGTTTCTTTTTTTTACTTCATTTCTTTTCATCTTTTAACTTTCTTTTTACATCGACTGAGCAAGGCAAGTTCAGAACTTCAGAGAGAGTTTTTAGTTACTTTGAGTATGTTAAAAAAAACTTGTACTGGAATCTCTAGGAATGCCGGGAGCTTCTGGCAAGGTTTTACTTTCGCTTTCTCCTCCCCAGTCCACGGTACCCCATGCATAGATCAATGCTGCCGCACATCCGCAAAGTTACAAGTGCCTAGAATCTTTATAAGTATATATATATACAGTTTACATTGCTTCTAGATATCTAACTGAATAAAATAGTCCACTTTCTACATTAAGAAAAGTGACGAAGTCAGTTAACAGCTTTGATTACGTGCGTGTCAGGTGTCACTGGTCGTGCCCTCACTCCCACGATAACCCCTGCGATATAAAACTTATTGTTATGCGGTCATAAAAACACTGGCTGCCACTACTGTCTACGTGCCCGCAATCAATTTCTTAGACTATCGCGTGTTTTTTGTCGTTGTGCGTTCGTGTGGCTAGTAGTATTTCATCGTAATATGAGGGGAAAAAGTGCCGGTCAGAGGACGGCGGGAGTTTCGTAAGAGATGGTGGCCCGAGCAAAAACTTGGTGGGCTCGGGCTTCCGGTTCGAACGCTGCCGGCGGCACGGGAGCGATTTTTTGTCGTATCTTCCAAAATTTTCGCTCTCGTAATTGTTGTTACCAGAGCGCTTTGAAAGCTGACCGGAGCGAAATCGCTCGCCGCTCCCGTGTATTTTTTTCGCTGATATAAATCAACGAGCATAGTCACTCAGTGCAATTCCTATTGGGCAGCCATTTTGTAATTGAACTGGTATCGCCGTCTATAGTTTGTGGTCGCCGTCATGGCACCGCACTAGAGAAACCATGGTGGTGCCTACTGTTCTTTATTTAATTGTAACAATCGATGGTCAAGAACAAACAATGTTCACTTTTTAGCGCATCTGACGAAGTCGGATGCAGCTTGTAGAATCGCAAGAGCGTGCGTGCATCCGTCCCTGCGTCCGTCTGTCAACAGTTGGGCACAAATCTTAACCGCTCGACGTACGGTCACAATATTCAAAACGCCGGGGGGGATCGTGAAAAGGACTCGGGATGACAAATTTTGGAGTCAAGGGTCAAAGGTCAAGATGTGTAAACGGAGGGAGAATATTTCCCCCTTAACTTAAGGTATAAAAGGAAATACGGAATTGCGGCACAAAT